CTGTCTCCCCCTTTGCGGCAGGCCCGCGGCGCTTCGCCTCCGGAGGCTCCTGGCAGGAGGGGGATGGAGGTAGGTGGGCAGGTCCCCACTGCTCTGCCCACTGCACTCCCCGGGCACTGCGGGGCCGTGGCACGGCGTTTCTCTCTTTCCAGGCTCCCCGGAGCACGGCAGCCCTGGCCAGCTGTACGGTAAGAGCCTGTCCAGGAGGAGTGGGTGGCCCTGTGGGGCTGTGACCATCACCAGTGTCACCAGTGTCACCCCACGAGGCTCCGCTCGGCCAGGGGTGCTTTGGGTGCAGCACGCCGGGGAGAGTGGAGCAGCAAGGCAGGGACACCACAGGGCATCCCACTACCCGGGGACAGTGACACCGGCCACAGCCGGGTGTCACCTCTGTGGGCTGAAGGTGGCGGGGACAGCAGGAGTGTCCCGCTCCGTCCCCAGCGCCTCCCTCTCCCGTCCTGGCAGCCACCGACAAAGTGGCCCTGCTGATCGGCAACATGCACTACCTGCACCACAAGCAGCTGAAGGCGCCCATGGTGGACGTGCATGCCCTCAGCGCCCTCCTCCGCCAACTCGACTTCAAGGTGGTCTCGCTGCTGGACCTGTGCAAGGCTGAGATGCAGATGGCTGTCAACGAGTTCCTCCTCCTCCTCGACAAGGGCGTATACGGTGTGGTGGCACCCGCCGGGGCGGCTCCAGCCGGGGGAACCGGGTGGTTTTGTGCTGGCGGGGTCTTGGAGGCTGGCTGGGCAAGAAGCGGGCACCAGCAGGTCAAGGGATGTCACCTGCTCTCTGCCCCTCCCGGCAGGTTTGCTCTACTACGCCGGGCACGGCTATGAAAATTTTGGCAACAGCTTCATGGTGCCCATCGACGCGCCCAGCTCCTACACCTCGGCCCACTGCCTGTGCGTGCAGCGGGTGCTGCAGAGCATGCAGCAGCGCCACACCGGCCTCAACATCTTCCTGCTCGACATGTGCCGCAAGAGGTGACCCGGTCCCAGCCCCCAGCCTAGGGACAAGCTGCCGGGAGGCCCTGGCACCGGGGTGCCTGTGGGTGCTGGTTCCCCACGGGAGCGGAGTGGGGCATCCCTGGGGTCCCATCCAAACCCGTTGGCTTTGTTTGGATGCCCCAGTTGAGCCGGCATATGCCACGATGGGTGGGCAGAAGGGCACGGGGCAGCCCCCGGGGTCTGGGGTGTCTTGGGGTGGGTTT